GCCTGCTGTAAGGACGGTAGGGGACCCCTCTCTACGCTGGGCTCCTCCTCCGACCCCCCTCCTCCTCCTTCTTCTCCTCCTTCTCTTCTTTCTCCCCTTCCTCCTGGCCATCTTTCGCGTCGCTGCGCTCGTTCGTCTGTCATCATTGTCGTCGTCCCTTCCGCTGTCGTTCGTCGCCGTCGTCGCCGTCGCCTGTGGCTGTCTTTTTTACCTATCTGCTGGATCTCGCGCCCTTTCGGGATGCGCTCGTGGCCGACTCAGAATCTTAGAATCCCCCATTCCCCCCTTTCCCCCACCCTCCTCCCTCGACCTCTGAGGGCGTTCGAATTCCAGGTTCCCAAAACATGAATGTTTGAAAGTTCGAGGCGTCAGAAGCTTGAACGCCTGAAGCAAAAAGAGGGGGGCAACGCTCGATAGCTCGAACGTTTGAAGTCTGACAGTTTGAAAAATGCAGAACGCCCGCGAACTTTCAACTTTCGGAATTTGCGACCGTTGTCTTCTTAACAAATCAAGCTTCAGATTTGCCAAGCCTGCAAGCTTTCAAGTTGTCAGTGTTTGAAAGTTTGAAAACTTATTGTCGCGTAGAAATGAAGCGCTTGAAAGCTTGAAGGCTTCAACGATGGAGCGCTTGAACGTTTGAAAATTTGAACGCTTGAAAGTTTGAAATGTTGAAACAGAAGACGCCCGGGAGTGCTGGAGGGAGGAACGCGGACTGGCGCCCTTCCATGTCCATGGATATTGTTCGTTACGCTGCCACGCGACGTGTTTAACCACCCACTACTCATTCATACCTGTTTTGGCCCGAGGCGTTCCACCGCGACTCATCTAATATATTCGTGTACTTTCTGCCCACGGAGGGTCCCTAGGTGATTTTCCTGAACTTAGCGCGTAGACTCGTATAGTAGCTCTTCGCTTACCAAGCCTTGCCGCGTGACGCGCAGAGTGAAATACTTGTTTCGCTCCCCGAGACGTTGCCGCGTGACGAGTAGAGTGGACTAGTATGTTTTCGACCTGCAGGCGTAGCCGCGTGATGGGTACAGTGGAATAGTATGTGCTTCCGCCCCTTTGTGTTGCCATGTGGCGTGTAGAAACGTATGCTCGTTGTGTTCACGCCAGGCGTTGCCGCGTGACGAATAGAGCCGGATTGTATTTGTGTTCGCCCACCCACGTGACGAGTGGAGTGGAACAATGCGCGTTCGACCTTCAGGCGTTGCCACGTGATGAAGATAGTCGAGTAGTAATCTTTCCCGCCCCTCTGCGTTGCCATATGGCGCGCGTAAACGTAGTAGGCTTGTCCCGCACGCCAGACGTTGCCGCGTGACGAGTAGAGCGGAATAGTATGTGTTGTTCCCTCTCGGCGCTGCCACGTGGCGAGTAGAGTGGACCAGTATGTGTTCGGCCCCAGGCGTTGTTGCTTGACGCGTAGAGTGGAATAGTAGCTGTTTCCGCTCCTTTGCGGTGCCACGTGGCGTGTAAAAGCACACCGTGTTTTTCGTTCGGGGACTGCTTCGTGATGGGTCGAGTGGAGTGTTCGTCTTTTGCCCGCCCGGGCGTCGCCGCGCGGCGAGTCGTGTGGAACGCTTTTGGTTTTTCCCCGCGTCGTTGCCGCGTGACGGTCGGAGTGAGATCGTACGCGTCCCCCCCCAGGGCGCTGCCACGTGTCGGGTCGAGCGGAATTGTGTCATGCTCATCCCCTCGGCGTTGCCACGTGGTGTGTAGAACCGTACAGTACGCCTGTCAGTACGCCAAGCCTTGCCGCTTGACGAGCAGAGTTGGGCAACATGTGTTTCGTTCTCCCAGGGGCTGCCAAGTGGCGAGCACACCGACGCTGTTGTTCCGCTCCTCTGCGTTGCCGGGTGGCGTGTGGAAGAGCACAGTTTGTAATCCCGCCAAGAGTTGCCGCGTCTCGGGTAGAGTACAGCTTCGAATTCTACACTTTCAAACTTTCGAGCTTTTCTTGCCGCCCAAACCGTCAAACGCAAACTTACCTCTTAGCACTTCCAGATGTCCAAGCTGTCAAACGTTCCTTGTATAGGATCTTCGAGTTTTTGCTTTTACGCACCTTCAAGCTTCCAAATGTCGAGCCCCTTCGTTTTCACGCACTCCCTCCTCGCTCCCCCCTCCTCCCCCTCCTCCTCGCCCCCTCCTCCCCCCCTCCCCCCCTCCTCCCCCCCTCCCCTCCTCCTCCTCCTCCCCCTCCTCCTCCCCCCCCTCCTCCCCCTCCTCCTCCTCCTCCGCCTGGCCGAAGATCTACTTCCAGCTCCGCAAGCTCAGGGCAGAGAAGAGGTGGCAGGCACGCAAGGGGCCGCTGGCCAGCCTGATCCTCCTGCTGTGGGAGGTAGGCTGGGACTCCAGAGGACCAGACGTCTGGATCGACAGGCAAGGGGACTACTGGAGGTTCAACACCGACGAGCAGGGCGGCGACTACACAGAGATCGTGGACGCGCTCCTGCAGGATATCCAAGACCAGCTGTGGGAGACGGCATCGCAGCACCACAACGGCGGAGGGCTACAATATGGCGCGGACGTGACCGACCTTAAGAAGCACCTCAACCAGCTCGCCAAGAAGGAGCACCACGGCACGTACGGCGCGCTCCTCACGGCAGCGTGTGCAGGCACCTGGACGAGGCGGCGCAAGCACGAGACCTTCGGCGGCGAGGAGGCCATGTGCGAGTGCGGCAGACCAGAGGATGATGCACACAGGATCTGGGGCCACTGTGCGGCCCGAGCCGACTGCGAGGCCATCCGCAAGACAGAGGGCTTGGCATGCAGGGCCATCGAGGGGGCCAAGGAGAACCCCGCCTTCTGGCTCAGAGGCATCACGCCCAAGAAGTGGACCACGCCGCCCAAGTGCGACACCCAACACGTCGAGCACACCGTGGGCGCCTGCATCACCAACAACAGGCTCTCCGCCAGCGACGGCGGCGAGATCACGGGCTGCGGCGACGGCTCAGGAGGCGAGTACAGCGCAGACGAGAGATACTGCCGCTGCGGCTGGGGCTGGGTGCTGCTGAAGGAGGGCGACGACGCCGACGGGATCGCGGGCGCCAGATTCGGCCCACTGCCAGGACCGAGGCAAACCAACAACAGGGCGGAGCTCTTCAGCCTGATCAGCTTCGTCAACGCCACGGAGGGCAAGGCCAGCTTCTGGACCGACAGCGAGGTCACCTGCCTGGGCTGGGCGGCGCGACGCGAGGAGACCACAGGGCTCGGCTGCACGAACGGCGACTTGTGGCACCAGCTGGGCGAGGCGATCCGTGCGCGAGGAGGCGACCGCAACGACATCAGCGTGCACCACCTCAACAGCCACATGACTGAGCAGGAGGCCCGCGCAAAGGGCATCACGAGGCGCATCTGGGCAGGCAACCAGGCAGCCGATCAGTACGCAGACGCAGGCGCCAAGACCCACGCGATCAGCGACACCGAGATGAGCTGCTACGAGTGGGTGAGAGCGACGGCGCACCTGGTGAGGCTCAGGATCGCTGCAACCACCAAGGACGTCATCACCAGAAGGCCGCCAGACGAGAAGGAGATGAGAGAGGCCCGCCGCGCTCAGGCTAAGAAGCGACGGCAGGACACCGTGCGCAAGAAGGACCTGCTGGGGGACAACCACTTGCGGCGGCCGCTCACCCAACACGTTCTGGCACGAGACCGTCGAGGCACAGGCTGGACGTGCCTGAGCTGCTGGCAGTCGGTCTCCAGTACGATGACGGCGCAGAACATCCACAGCTGGCTGACGCAGGAGTGCAGTGGCCCACCGCCCGAGACGGCGATCACGGTCACCAAGTTCGGCGTCGAGTCGCATCCCACGCACAAGCTGAGGCGGCTGAGGAGGCACAACAGGTGGTTCTGCGAGAAGTGCGGCGGCGCCACCACTGAGCTGATCGCCAAGAAGCTGCAGGAGCCTTGCTGTGGACACACGGCATGCGACAGCGGGCACTACAGGCTACAGGGGTGGCTGAGGCAAGCGGCGCGAGAGCAAGGCACCTGCGACAGGCCTCGCGCACAGAGCGACCCTGAGGACGAGGAGGACGAGGAGCAGCTTGCAGAGGCCAGCAGCAGCCAGAGCACGGAGGTCGACACGACAGGGGGCACAAGTGGTGTTTCCTGGCGAAACAAACGGGAAGAGCCACCCTGCCGTCTGCGGGGGAAGTGCCGAGGCAACGCTGCTGGCGCGCTGGAGGCGACGAGGAGAGCTACGCCGCCTGCGGAGCCTGGCAGCCTGCCCGCCCCATCAGCTGCAGGAGCAGGCCGAGGGCCCGCGACGCGGGACAGGGCACGTCGGGCCGCGGCGGCCAGAGCGAGAGCGCGCAGCGAGGCAGCAGGCGCGCGACCCGACGGCGGAGACAGAGGAGAGCAGAGGCCACGGCGATCAGAAAGCGAAAGACGACGAGCTGAGGAGCCGATCGTGAGACGCCTGCTGGACGCGACCGCCGCCACACCAGCACCGACGCCGACACCGACGCCAGCACCACCAGCAGCAGCAGACCGACCTGATGAAGCTGAGGCCGCACGCCGTGCCGCCTCGCGAGCGCTGCTGGAGGAGGAGCGGTGGCGCGCGGCGCGCCCGCCGCCAGAGGCGAGAGGGGCCCGCGCGGCGAGCGCCGCCCCGCCGCTGCCGCTGGGCGCGCTGCGTCGGCTGCTGGACGAGGGCGAGCGGCCCGCGGGGCGGGTGAGGACCACGCGAGGCGGAGCTGATGGCAGACGATGTGGTCTCCCCGCCCCGCGGAGAGAGGGCTCGGCTGCGGAGCCGCCCGCAGGCCCCTCGGTTGCTCGGCACGTCCCCCTGTTGCCGAGGACCGAGGCGGCCTGAGAGGCGCCGAGAGCGGCGCCCCCGCGCGCGCGCGCCGACAGCGCCGCGCGGGTTGCCACGACGTGGCGGCTCGAAAGAGCTCGGAAAGAGCTCCTCCTCCTCCTCCTTCCTCCCCCTCCTCCTCCTCCTCCCTTCATTTTAACGCACTCCCTCCTCCCCCTCCTCCTCCCCCCCTCCCCCCCTGGAGGCGGACGCGCTCCGGCTGCCACACAGGCCGGACGTGCGGACGGCCTGCCTCGGCGGGCGCCTGCACCTCGCGCTTGTGGACCTCCTGGGGCACGGCTGCGCGCCGCCGCTGCCGCTCAACGGGCAGGATCACCTCCCCCTCCCTCTTGTGGTGAGGCCGATCCTCCTGCTCCTTCTGCTCCTCCTGCTCCGCCTCCCTTCCACCCCCCTCCTGCGCCTCCTCCTCCTCCTCCTCCTCCTCCTCCTCCTCCTCCTCCTCCTCCTCTTCCTCCTCCTCCTCCTCCCCCTCCTCCTCCTCCCCCTCCTCCTCCTCCTCCTCCTCCTCCTCCTCCTCCTCCTCCTCCTCCTGCGCCTCCTTCTCGTCCTCCTTCTCCTACTCCTCCTCCTGCGCCTCCTCCTCGGTCTCCGCAGTGCTCGGCAATTGTCTTGCTGGCTGCGATTTTGATTCCCTGCCCCCCCCTGAGGTCTGGCCGCGCGTGTCGTTTGCCGTGAAGTCCACAGGCAGCCTGATTGCGATGGCCCCGAGTTCCTCCAGTGCCCGTTGACTCCGTGACATCGCCTGTGCCATTTGGAAGCAGGATATACGTTCAGCAGCCCGAGTTCAGGATCACTCAGTATACGGCTCTCGCTTCAGTTTAATCACAGGTGTTCGAGTTTGGCTGCAGTGTGAAGAAGGTTTTCGGGCCGAGGTCATTCCCCATAACTCTCGCAGGTGTTTTGACATGCAAGAAGAGGCCGCTGCACGCGCGCGCAACCAGCCAGACCAGATCCAGCGTTGTGGCAAGGTCCAAAAGACATCTGTTAGGCGATCGTTGCTTTTTTGGAGGCCGAAGCAAAGGCGCTTGGTTCTGAGGCAGATTCGGGTTACACGAGACGGCGCTAAAATCGCTGAGTCGTTGCACACCACAACCTCTGATCTCTTCAGTTTCGACTTCCACACGCCCTCCCGGAAAGAGCTGGCGCATTTACTGAACAGAGCATGGGAATCGGTTTCAGAACCAGATTGTTTCACGTATGCCGTGCTACAGTGCCACCCCACATCCCTCTCCGTCTTCTAGCGCCTCCTCATATACCGCATGGGTGGCAACCCCGCTGCAGCTGGCCTTACTCACCATCGCATGCCCATCACAGACTCCCGCCGACCCCTCACGCTCAAGAGTTCGGGCTGCAAGAACTTCGTGTTTGTGGCAAACAACAATTGCAACACTAAGCTGGTCGACGGCCCCACGTGGTCCAATCGGAGGGGCTAAACCTGGCTTACAATGTTCTCGGCATTACTTCGGCTGCCAGGAGGGCGAGCGTCGTAGACGCCGAAACGGATCCCCTTCTCCGGAAATTTGATAGGAGCGCGGTTCGTTGTTGCATGGGGCAGACCTGGCAGCGAATGGCGCTGGACAGCTCGCATGTTCCGCAGAGTACCAAGTGTGTCCTGTTTCGTTTTGGGGCCCGACGCTCTTGCACAGCGTGCCAGTGGGGGCAGAGGTAGTCCTCATGTTTACCGGCACCGCCAGCGTTTCACGGGGTTACCCTCTCCCTGGGTCTCTTTGGGCTTTCGGGTTTGACCCCATCCTCCGCCACCCCGTCGCCCATTCCCCAAACAAAGCCACAACCGCTCGGGGCACTTGCGCGGATGACATAGGAGTCGTTCTGAATCAGATTCGCCTTTTGCCCCTCCCGCATGCCACCTTCGCGCTCGCCGAACGCTTGGCAGCCACTTCATCGCTCAGTTTGTCCCCGCTTGGGAATCCTTCCGGGTGTGCCTGTGGTCCAAGCATCAAGTGGCCTTCGGCCCATTCCGTTCCGCCACCGTGGCGTGACGGCCCGAAGACGGCCTCACAGGCGCAAACAAGTGCCTCCGAGGCTTCCATGAAGGGCCCGAGAAACCACCACCATGATTCGTGGTCTGTTTTTTAAACATTGGTGGGCCCCCACCTGTCTGGGCCGCGAACGGCCATCGGCGACGCTGAAACCTTGCGAGACCGGCCAAAAGACTACACGGGAGGGCCCCGACGCGCCCCAAGACGGCCCAGCAGAACCCACGACAGTTCAAGCCCCACGACGGCCCAGGAAGGGCCGAGCGGGCCCCAAAGCGATCCCAGCTGAAGGGGAGGAGGATCCCTGGAGGGCCCGAGATCGCCTGACGACTGCCCCAAGACGGCCCCAAGCCTCCAGCGCGGCGCCAAGGCGGCCCAGGAGAGCCCCAAGACAGCCCAGCAGGGCCCCGAAGTTGCCCGCGACGGCCCCGCAGAGGCACCGCGGCGCCTCCAAGACGCCCCCAAGACCCCAAGATGGCATCACTGTGGCTCGCTCATGGGAAGAGCTCTCGGCGCCAAGGCTCCGGAGCGGATGGTGGCCTCCGCGCCAGGGGCCCGCGAAGTCCAACGAGGCCCTCTGGGCGCGCCGCAAGAGCTGCTCAGTTCGCCCAGACAGGCTTCCCGCCTGCATCCAGGAGGCCATTGATTCCCCTTGCCTCCTCGCCCTCCCACGCCATCTCCTCCGACACCATTGTGTCCCACTGTTCCGTGCCCCCCCGCCCCCTTCTAGCGCCGCTTCCCCTGGCGCACCAGTCACGAGCGACCGCTGCGGGAGCTCTCTGGTTTTCCCAACCATCCTGTGGCGTTAGGTCCTCGCTTCGAAGAGACAGCGCCCCGCGTCTCCCCCCCCCCCTCCCCTCCCTTCCCCCTCCCTTGCCTCTGCCCTCCGCGCCAGTCAACCATGTCGGCACGCACCTTGCGCGTTTCGTGGCGTGATAGGGAGATCCACCGAAGGCCTCAGCGAGGGTCTGTGCAAGCGGATCCCCCGCCCAGCACAGCGCTTCGTGGCCCCATAGGGAGCTCCGCCGAAGGCCTCGGTGGCCGCGTTCGCATGCAGTTCCCCCGCCCAGCACAGCGCGTGGTGGCCCCATAGGGAGCTCCACTGAAACACCTGGTGGCTGTGTCCGCATGCGCTTCTCCCACCCAGCACAGCGCTTCGTCGCCCCATGGGGGCCCCACCGAAGGCTTCAGCGGCGGCGTCCGCATGCGGTTCCCCCGCCCAGCGCAGCGCTTCGTTGCCCCATAGGGAGCTCCACAGAAGAACCCAGTATCGGTGTCCGCGTGCGGTTTCCCCGCCTAGCACAGCGCGTCGTGGCCCCATGGGGAGCTCCACCGAAGGCCCGAGTGGCGGCGTCCGCATGCGTTTCCCCCGCCCAGCACAGCGCTCCGTGGCTTCATAGGGAGCTTTACTGACGGTTTCAGTGGTGGCGTTTACATGCGTTTTTTTTCACTTCAGGACAGCGCTTCGTGGCCCCATAGGGGGCTTCACCGAATGGCCCAGCGGCGGCGTTCGCGCGCGATCCCCCCGCCCAGCACAGCGCTTCGCGGCTCCGTATGGAGCTCCACCGAAGGCCCCAATGGCGGCGTTCGCATGCATTCCCCTGCCGGCGGAGGCCAGCCCATTCGCATACCCACGCCAGCCTGGCAATGGGAGTGGCATGCGCGGCGGCGGCGGCCGCGGCCGTGGCGGCAGCGGGGGCCGAACCGCCACCGCCGCCAGAGGCGTCGCGCCGAAGGCGGGGTCGGGGAGCGGAGGCCAGCCAGCGAGAGGGCGACGGCAACCCGCGGGCGAAGGCGCGGCGACGACTGCCAGACGGAGAGGAGCAGCAACGGCGTCAGCCGCGCCCGAGGGGGACAATGGGGGTAGCAGGAAGAGTGCCAGCCGCGCGCCATCCCTCGAGCTCGGCGGCGGCGGAGGGCGTTGAGACGGCGCATCGGCGCCCGCGCGTGGTGAAGGAGGCGCGCGGCTAATTGCGCGGTCTGCGCGGCGCGCGAGTACTGCGCGAGGTGGGGGACAGGGCCTGGCCAGACAGCGCTCAGGGTGGCCAGCCAAATGTCAACAGGTCGGACTAGGCCAGATGCGGGCTGGCTGACCGCATCTTGTGAGGCGTCCGCCCGAAGCTGAGTAAGACCCTGGTCGACGTGAAGGGGCGCTTGTGCTCGTGATCTGGCCCTGTCGCAGCGCTCGCGCATAGCTGTCGTGATAATAATTTGACGCTGCGTGTCGCGCAGGCATGCGCGGGCTCGCTAGCAGTGCGGCGAGAGCGTCCACAGACATGCTGCCTTGGCCATCTTGGCTGGAACCGTCAGCTCGGGCTCACTGAGCCTGCGTCCGTGGGAGACAGTAGCAAAGGCGTATACTCTACGCGGCGCAATTCATTTTTACACACGAAATTGACGCATTCCACGCCCTTACAAACATCCCACCCACCCACCCGCAACTTGGTTTGCAAACCCATGCGGCGGCGATTGCGATGAGTGATTGGCGTTGGCTGGTGCATCTTTGCGGCCGCGTTAGCTCGCGCATGCTCGCGCGCGCAGCGGCCAGCTAGGTTGGCGCGACCGACGCGGCCGCGGTGGCGCTGACCGCTGGGCACTTCCCAACAGTCGCTGCAGTGCGAGTCGGTGACTTGGGCGGGCACGGTATCATGGCGACGCCGGCAACCCCCCCAGCACGCGCGCAAGGACGTTCGAACGAGTGCGACATGTGGCGCGAGGGGCCCGCTTGGCAGAATGTGATGAGCATGCTGAAAACCTTACGGTTCCTCAGGAATCCGCACAACCACGAGCGCAGTTTTTGGTTGAAAACTGATGTAGCAAAACCATGTGTTTGCATATGCTTTCGGGACATTCGTTGTTGAAATCCCTGCGAGCCCTAAGGTTTTGAAGGATTCCGGCATGCGCGCGAGACAACGCGCGCGCACGTCGCCCCGCTTCTTTTGCAATGGGTTCTTGCGACAGCACGCGCGCAAGGCGCGAGAGGCCAGCTAGGTATCATTTTACGAAAATGATGAAGCACCTATGGTTTTCATGAGACTTCGCAAGAGCGCGGGCGCATTTGGTGTTTGAGAACCCTTGTTTGCGTTTTTGCATATAGATATAGATTTGTATATCTATATGTATATATATATACACATATGGCACACTCGATTTTCGAATCCTTACGAAACCTATGTTTTTGTTTTTTGTTTCGAAAGATTTTGGCATGCGCGCGCGACGGCGCGCGCGTGCGCACTTCGCCCTGTTCTGTTACAAGGGATGTTTGAAAACTGCTTGTTTTCGATCAACGAGTGCGCGCGTGCAGTAGTTTTCT